CACGTCCGGACGCTTTTCAAAAAAGCTGTTCACCTCAAAAGTACACAAATATATGGCAATGATATCAAAGGATTTGTGATCTCAAGTGATCCGACACTGTCCAAGAGTTATTCACAGGTTCTCACAAGTAATGGGATAAAGGAAATTGATCTAGGAAGTGGTAGTGAACAAGATATACAGCAATCGCTTCTAGACTACTCTGATAAGGGTTTACTTAACTATTTCCACAATTTATTGTTTGGTATTTCCACTAATATTACCGATAATAATACAACTCGTGTGAATATTTGGTACAATTATATGGCCTACCATTCACTTCCCCTATCATTGAATTTGTTCACAAATGCATTACTTAAGCAAATGAGTAGCGAATCTGATTATGACATAAGTGTTACAAACAAACCATTGATGATCGACTGGTCAGGCGCTCAATTGGACAGTCATTTTCGTACCATATATTCAAACGGATTAATGGTGAACACGTATTACATAATATTCTTGTGCGGATTCACATTCACCACCGCCTCCTATGTCTTATTGCCGATCACCGAATGGCGGACTAAATTCAAATTACTTCAACTCATGTCTGGTCTCAATCCTATCACCTATTGGGTCGCGAATTTGGTCTTTGATTTAACGGTTCACACGGTCTGCTCATTGATCTATGTCTTGGTTTACTATATATTTGACACCAAAGGATACTTCACTGGATCCGACTACTCGACGATTGCAATATTCATGACTTTTGTTTTGTATGGTTTCGTATTCATACCATTTGCTTATTTGGTGTCATTTGTCTTTTCAAAGCCCGCGACAGGATTTACATTCATTTCATTATATAATATACTGATCGGTAGTATCGCTCTAATCATACAATTGATCTACAATTACAAGCATTCGTATTATTATAATATGGATATAGACTTCAGATATTTTATGCAAACCTATGTCTCGGAGTTCATCTCATTCCTCACACCCGTCACACTATTCTTCAATTGTATCACTTATTTGAATCAAATTATTCACAATAATTACTGTCAACTCATCGATGCGTCGATTAAGACTTCGTGTCTAATCGATGGATACAATGAGAGGAATATCTGCTGTCTTCCTAATTGCCAAACAAACTCCACATCATATGAAGAATTTTATGATAAACCAGTTCACGGGATAATTGTTGACGATTTTTATCCAGACTGTTATCAACAGATAAATCCATTTAAACTTATCAATGTCTATTTTGTTCGGTTCATAGTTTATGGCATTTTATATACTACATTCACGTGGAGTACAAATACCTAAACTATTTGAACGGAACGCCTAATGCAGAGACCAACTCAATGGCCATATATTCGTGTCGTACCGGCAATGAGACGGACATTGAGTTAAGAGGAGATAATAAGAGAGTCTGTATTAAAGGCTTTTGGAGCGGTTCTCAACCTAAATGTCTTAAGAAAGGCACGGATTGTAAGTTTTATAATAACAAAACAATTTATATAAAAGTTATATTAACTTAATGTTGAATTAAATTTTAGTGCATAACTCGAGTGATTACCAAAGATTTAGTAAATATTCTGAATATACAAACAAAACGGATGTCAATGTGAATCCAGTACCCATTCAATTAAATTGGTACCGGGTTCATTTGGTAGTCATATCAATGTTGGTGTCCTTTCTCATTGGCGCCTCATTTATCGGATTAATTGTCTTCTTAGTCATGAAATATGTGGTGAATGTAAGACACAGAAGGGCTGAACTAAGTATCCCATCAGTGGTTGTGAGTGAACCCAACCATTACTACGAGAGAAACGCTTATGAAGAATACAGATATGAATCCATAAGAATGAATGCATTGGAGTTCTTGGAGTTGGAAAGGATTAACTCATTATATCAATCAAACAATGGATAATAATATTTTTTAAACACATTTTCAAAACATAACAATAAATATACAAATTTTCAAACTTTTTAAACTGATTTATTGAAATTTATAAAAATTCTTTTCTGTCCAAAACTTCTCATATCGACTGATCTTACAAATGGAGACAAAAAGTACCGAAGAAGTGAAAGAGTGTCGTATTTGCAAAGAGGGTGACAGTGAGGGGTCACTCATGAAGCCGTGTCTGTGCAGCGGATCCATCGCTTACGTGCACTTCAAGTGTGTCGGAATCGATTCAAGTGAATAGAGACGTGAAGTGCAGAGTATGTCGCCAGGAGTTCAACGTCAGGGTCCACAAAGTGGGCCACACCTTCTGGAAGTACCTGATGGGCGAAGAGGTGAATAGAGTGTCGTTCCTCTTGACTCTATTCTTCACGGGATTCACAATATTTATAGCCATTGTGTCGATGAAGTACACGGAGTCCGGCTGTAAAGACTACGCCAACCAATGGCTGCTCTTTTGGACACTCATCTCATCCCTGGTTGTAATGAATGTCTGCCTATTCTTGCTGTTGATTCAGTCATGGATTTCAGTTCGCATTACTTTCAAAGAGTGGCAAATTAGACACTTTAATATCCTAATCGACACGGATTAGGGATTAGACACCAAAAAAGTATTCATTTAGGTTTGAATTCAGAAATAAATCAATTTTTATTCACACATACAGTCATATCTTTATTATCATAATTATATTAAATCTGTATTTTATTATAATTTCATTTATCGTCAAGTCTTTACTCGTTTGTATCGTTAGCATCACTAGTATTATGAAGTATATCGTAACCGACTCTTCTGGATGTCTCATCCATTGCCACCATTGAGAGGAATGCCTGTTCAAGACTAGCGTTGGCCACGAAATAGTCCTCTAACGGGAACTCATTTTTCAATTCTTGTAACGAATGAAAAATTTGCGATAACTTAATGTCCCGTCGAATGAGGTTATAGTAAATGACTCCAAAATTATCGTATTTTATGAGACATTTATCACCGAATATTTCACTTATTCTAGCCTTTAATGCCTCAATAATCTCATCGTTTGCATCATTTCTCACTTTTAAGATAATATCAAATCCTTTAGCATAAGAGGACTTAAGTTGAGAGACATAACCAATGGTTTTGATGACACCATTGGAGACAATGGCTAATCGAGAGCATAGGGCCTCGCATTCACTCATATTATGAGAGGTTAATAGTATCGAGACTTTGGAGTTAGACATCAGATCTCTTAAGAGACTCCATATTTTAAGTCTTGAGTCCGGGTCGACACCATTGGTTGGCTCATCCAAGAGTAGGAGCCGAGGGGTGCCTATGAGGGCTACGGCCAGCGATAACTTTCGCCGATTACCCCCACTATAAGTAGACAATCGCTTATGGATTATAGACTTTAATTCAAACTTTTCCGTAATGTTTGCGATGAATGTCTGCAAAGCATTCCTCTCAAGACCTCTGAGTCGGCCGAAGAAGACAAGTGTTTGCATTCCTGTCAGTCGATCCAAAAGGGCGTCATTTTGAGGACAATAACCAATCTTTGAATAAAACACTCGTTTATTATGCAATAGGTCGGCGTCTGAGCCCAGGTATGCATTTCCTGAGTCCATATCGAGATCTCCTGTCAGTAATCGGAATGTCGTTGTCTTTCCGCTGCCATTAGTTCCCAATAAACCGAAACATTCCTCTTTGTTCACCACAAATGACAACTTATTGGGAATTGTAAGCGATTTGCTGAACATTTTAGTCAACTTATCGACAATTAGTGAAACGCTGTCATAGTTTTCACTCGCAATCAGTTGCGAAACCGTTTCATATTCTTGTCTCACATTTGTATTGTCGTTGACTTCATTGACTTCTTGGAGTTCATCACTGTTTCTGTTATTAACTTTTTTGGTGATAATTCTTTGCAAGAATTTAAATAATGTTTTATATGGTTTTGTTTCAATTATGATAATTATAGCCATATATAAAATGCCATAAACTATGAACCGAACAAAATAGACATTGATAAGTTTAAATGGATTTATCTGTTGATAACAGTCTGGATAAAAATCGTCAACAATTATCCCGTGAACTGGTTTATCATAAAATTGTTCATATGATGTGGAGTTTGTTTGGCAATTAGGAAGACAGCAGATATTCCTCTCATTGTATCCATGATTTAGACACGAAGTCTTAATCGACTCATCGATGAGTTGACAGTAATTATTGTGAATAATTTGATTCAAATAAGTGATACAATTGAAGAATAGTGTGACGGGTGTGAGGAATGAGATGAACTCAGAGACATAGGTTTGCATAAAATATCTGAAGTCTATATCCATATTATAATAATATGAATGCTTGTAATTGTAGATCAATTGTATGATTAGAGCTATACTACCGATGAGTATATTATATAATGAGATGAATGTAAATCCTGTGGCGGGCTTTGAAAAGACAAATGACACCAAATAAGCAAATGGTATGAATACGAAACCATACAAGACAAAAGTGATGAATATTGCAATCGTCGAGTAGTCGGATCCAGTGAAGTATCCTTTGGTGTCAAATATATAGTAAACCAAAACATAGATCAATGAGCAGACCGTGTGAACCGTTAAATCAAAGACGAAATTCGCGACCCAATAGGTAATAGGATTGAGACCAGACATGAGTTGAAGTAATTTGAATTTAGTCCGCCATTCGGTGATCGGCAATAAGACATAGGAGGCGGTGGTGAATGTGAATCCGCACAAGAATATTATGTAATACGTGTTAACCATTAATCCGTTTGAATATATGGTACGAAAATCACTGTCCAATTGGGCGCCTGACCAGTCGATCATCAATGGTTTGTTTGTAACACTTATGTCATAATCAGATTCGCTACTCATTTGCTTAAGTAATGCATTTGTGAACAGATTCAATGATAGGGGAAGTGAATGGTAGGCCATATAATTGTACCAAATATTAACACGAGTTGTATTATTATCGGTAATATTAGTGGAAATACCAAACAATAAATTGTGGAAATAGTTAAGTAAACCCTTATCATAGTAGTCTAGAAGTGATTGCTGTATATCTTGTTCACTACCACTTCCTAGATCAATTTCCTTTATCCCATTATTTGTGAGAACCTGTGAATAACTCTTGGACAGTGTCGGATCACTTGAGATCACAAATCCTTTGATATCATTGCCATATATTTGTGTACTTTTGAGGTGAACAGCTTTTTTGAAAAGCGTCCGGACGTGAGTCCACATATCAATTGACAATAATTGCATTATTAAGAAAAATATCGGTATTATTAGTAGAGTTAATAATAGTGTAAAATGTTTGCTTAAGTAATTGAACCGTTTTAAGAATATTCCGTATATTTGGCACAAAATTAGTTTATAATAAGAATCGTGTTGTGTTTGAATGGTCTCCAATTCAGTGATTAAAACATCATCTGTTTGTCTGTTGTTATTATCATTGAAAAACTCTTTCAGTAATTTATTATCACTTTTGGACACAATCTTGGCGTACGAGCCCTCAAGAGTTGTCATTCCTAGCGATATATCATTTATGGCTAAATAACTCTCGTTTGCATACAAGTCGTCAAACATTTCGCTGAATCTATGGCTGTCTTCAAAGTTCAACTCATAAACCAATTCTTCGTTATCTTTTAATTCAGTTTTAGAAAAGTTTCCAATTTTTGCATATTTTTCAATAGTTTCCGTTATTTTGTTTTGAGTCTCAAATTCAGTAGTCTTGGTAATTTTTAAATGATATCCTGAGTTAAACTCCTTCTTCATGTCAAACGTGGATCCATTGAAACAAACACTTCCTTTGGATATAATGCAGATCTGATCGGACAGAAGGTTAGCCTCTTCTAAATGATGTGAAGTTATTAAAACGGTTTTACTATTTCTTGAGTCCAGTATCAGATCCCAGACTTTGCGGCGGATTATGGGATCCAAAGCGGCTGTCGGCTCATCCAATAGGAGGACATCATTGGGACCGATGAGGGCCACCGCCAGCACCAGTCGTCTGAGTGTTCCGCCCGACAGTTTGAACGCCTCTTTGTTCAGCTCTGACTCCAGATTCAAGAGACGGATCAGATGTCCGCCATTATATCCGCTGTCACTCTCGCGTAGAGTTTGCTTCAGATCTGAGACAAGTTTCAAATGCTCTCTAATTGACAGGTATTTGAAGTAAACGTTTTCTTGCGGACAGATTCCCGTCATATTTCTCGTCAAATACGACTCTTTCGTGATATCGTGTCCACCGATCTTCACCTGTCCTTCAAATTCAACTAATCCTATGAATCGAGAAATTATTTAAAGTTAGAAAATTATTTCAAGTGTTTAGACATTTTTATCTATTGTTTATTACCTGTAATTATATTCATTAGACTCGTTTTGCCGGAACCATTTGGTCCGAGAATAACAGTAATTGACTTCTTGTTAACGTCTAAATCAATGTCTTTCAACACAAACTCGCTTTTGAATCCAAACATTGAGTTATATTTTTTACTCAAATTCTTTATATGAATAACAGATTGAGTTTCGGTGTCAATAATTGTGTTATAAGTATTAATATCGGATTTTCTCATAAACTTCTCATTTAATTTCTCGTAAATCCATTGAATCGGGAAATAAAAGGGTTTATTAATGGAGTGTTTGAAGGGTATTACAGCTGAGAAATACCAAATCAGTAGACCGTATATTGGATATGAAATTATCATAACTATAAATATATGGCTTAAAGTCATCTGATCCAGAAAGTGTCCCTGGTCAAAGAGATGAGCCCATTGTGCGCCTAACCGGGCATTTTGCTCGAGTCCGACACAAATGTGGAAAAACCAAAATAAGGCACTGTTTGGCAAAATACAAGACAGAGTCTCCAAACCAAAGTGAGATAATATGGGATAACCTCTGCCTCTGATGGCAAACAAATATATTAATGGCACAAAAAATGCCAAAATCCATGAGACAATAGTTACGATGACTGCTATGTTGGGACTCTTGAAGAATACGGACACCAAACAACCGAAAAGTATGGATTGAATGATAAGTAATGTCGAGAAGAATAGGAAGAGTGGTATTGAGATGCCGACTAACACTGAATGGGAATGGATTAGTGTCTCAGTTATCGAGTCTTTGTATTCAATGGTATTGTAATTCAATACAATTAATGTGATTATTAAGTGCTGTAAACCAATCACAGAGAAGGCGTCGACTATAATACTAATCCAGTGGTCTGTCTTTCGGACACCCATTTGAAACAAGTAGTCAGTGATCATTGTCTGCCTGTCCTCTACTATACGTTTGACCACAACTGACACCATCACTAATAACTCAATGAGAACCACGAATATAATGGTTATGCTGTGCTGTGACTCGGAATACACGGAATATTTAACATATTTGGTGACCGAAGGGAAAGGCATCTGTTGCTCAAAGAACTCCAGTTTGTCTTCGACTGTAGTGTTTGTTATGAGGGAAATATGGGCCAAATCGACAGCTAATTGCAACTGACAAAAGCCATACTCAATGTAATTGTTGGTGAACCGATAGCTCCACAACCCATCATAACTGACATAATCGCGAATATTTCGATACAAATCATAGTTATAGAGATGTTTATTATAGACCGTTATCTTATAGTCCAGGTGTTTGGGCGCACCCTTTGCCCGGAAATCAGTGGACACAAAGTTTAGGCCAAAGAATATGCGATCGTCTCTGATCTCGAGTACAGTTGTCTTTAATATTGTCATCAAATCCTCTTCAGACTCAGCACCGACTGAATTGAATACATATCCTCTGAAGCCTTTATTCAAATGCTTGACCACTCTATCCATTAAATGATTGGTATAATTATTGTACGGATAGTAAGCGATACCAACGTTTGGATATGAAGTCAATTCAAGTAATGTCTGGTTTTGTGTCAAACTTTCGGATCTACTAAACGTTGGCTTCAAAACGGTTTCATTCACTTTATTGGCCATAAACTCATTGATGTCTTCGTAATCGTAAAAAGTTTTCTTCGAGAATATCATGAGAAGCGCTGCGAAACAAATGGGGACTAAAGACAACACGAGGAATGATATCTTGTGATGACATCTGATTAACCAATTCTTGTGCACTAAAAGTCGGATAATTTTGAAATGTTGCGAGAACTTCATGTTTACTTTGGCACAAAAAACAACTTGTTAATAATTGTCAGTTCAATTTTAAAATGGAAACTTTTTATTAAGAATTTTAATCACATATTCATATAATTCTGGACATAATTGTCAATAGATTTTAAGTCTAAATAACACAATATGACTAAAATTTGTTAAATTTTGATGAAAATTTGTTTATAAAATGTTTGCGTTTTCTAAAACATGACTTCATATTACATAAACACATTAGATTTCTTGACTTATACCGTATAACAAGCAAAACTTCATTGCATCCAATTATAACATGTTTAGTGTATTTGAAATCGAAGGACAGAACCACTCTTACAGTTAAATATTTGAAGGCCTCGACACTGAAAGATGGAGAGAGAGAGAGAGAGAGAGAGAGAGAGAGAGAGATGAAGGACAGAACCACTCTTACAGTTAAATATTTGAAGGCCTCGACACTGAAAGATGGAGAGAGAGAGAGAGAGAGAGAGAGAGAGAGAGAGTTTTGCATAATTGGATGTTTAAATCTGATAACAAATAAGAAATGTTTTACTGTATAAATATTTATCGATAATGAATGAAGTAGTGAAGTGAATAAAGTTTTGATATATAAATATTATAGATCACTAATCATAGGATGTTTTGACTATTTATTTTAAAGAAATTAGAGAAAATTAAGCATTATAATAATATACTGTAGTATAGTTTAATTAGAATACAGTACAAAATTACTTAATAAATAATTTGTATACTATGTTATTGATATTATATAATATTTAGAAATAATGTACAATTGTTTTTTTAATAAATTGCTGTTTAGTCGCTGTTTATTGACGACAATCTCAATCAATGTCATAATAAGACACTGTACTTATAAGTGTTGATTTTTTATCAATAGTACACTTACTATTAATAAGAAAACTTTTATTCTTTATTTTCTTACATTCATTGTATATTACAATTAGGAATAAATTTAAACTTTAGACTCTTATATCAAAAATCAATAATTAATATAAAAGTAACACTCATTTGATTATACAGTAAATACTGTACTTGTTATTGGAATTGATATATAAATAGTATTTGACATGAAATGTTGTCTCTTTTAAGTCATTTGTAAACTAAAGTCTCAATAAATTTGTTTAATGAACTTATAAAGAGTAGACATAAGTTTTAATTATTTATTTAAAGTCATACAGTTTGAAAGTTTATGTAAAATATTTTATAAGTAAAAGTTTTACAAGTTTTTTACGAGTTTTCTCTCATAAAATTAAATGTTTTCGTGAGTAAAATTAAATTCTTGAGTAATCATTTAAATTAATTTATAATTAATTGTACAGTATAATAAGTTTTATGGTCTATTTTAATGCAATACTCTTTGTCCTAATTGTTTGACACGAATTTTGAATTACAAATACATTACGAAATGTTATAATTTTATTGAATTTATTGTGGATTCAGTTAAATAGACATTTGTGTGAATTTAAGACAAGTTTGCTAATCTGTGATTTTAATCTGATGTGAAATATTTTGATTTATAATTTATATATTATTAATACTTTATAAAGAATTGAAACTTGATTAACTTTATACTACTGTCTATTATACTAATATATGTAAGTATTTTTAAGTTTTGCTATGATATTACACTAAAACACCTCAAATTAAAAACAATTTGTTATATAAAAGCTATAATCTACTGAAATAGTTATAATGATAATATAGTTTCTAGATTTAGCAAAAATAAATGACAGATTACAAGAGGTTCAGGTTTGATGTACTATTGAATGTCTTGCAGTGATTAGTTAGAAGTTTGATTTGATTGTAAACTTACTGTATTCGGGCATTTATATTATTTTACAGATTTAATGATTATAAATAAATAAGAGCCAATGATATTTCAATTCATTGTCTTAATATTTAATCAGTTGCTTATCATTAGCAATACGAGTGGTTCAGAAATATTTGATTAAATAGGCGACAAACTTGAGTTAATTATATATTAATAGACAACAAATTCTGTTATTTCTTTAAACTTCCATCAAATTATTAATAACTAAAATTTAAATTACAAAAGTAAATAACATTTATGTATCAATACTTGAGAATGCCTTTTATGATTACCGTAAGTTTATTTCAGTTTAAAATAAGTTTATTGATTTTTAAGTAAATCTAATCGTAAATTTTGGTAATATGACTATACTAATGTTACATTAGTAATGTATATACAGTATATTATTGTTACACTCTTATGTAATTAAAAATATGTTTTTCTTAGACAATTAGATTAGACTAACTTGTAAGTGCTATCATATGCCACAAATTATCTTTTAGTTTGTTTGTTGTTTTTAAAATCATCAATAATAACATTTCATGAATTCACTTTACTATACTTTAGCAAAATGTACTTATTTCGTACCCATATATCATACCAAACAATCTATTAATTTCTAACTAATTGTTTATTAAGTATTGCGAACAAATACTCTGAATCATTGAACAAATACCTAGTGCAAATGCACAAACAATTAATTTAAGGTTCTTTTCAATATATTTTTATTTGTAACAGAATATCTCTAAATAACATTACAATCATTTTGATGGCATTTGAATTGAATTAAAAAACTTTTATAACTCAACAAAATTATGGAAAAGTTCTGCGGATCTCCCTTTTGGGTTTGTATTAACAAAACTTTATAAGTATGTGTCAATAATAAAGCATTAAAAAAATACCATAGGATTGGGACCTAACGTGGAATTCCCATAACTTTCCCGAATTCACACTTTGTTTCGAGGAAACAGTTCTCGTGTGGATTCCGTGTCTACTTCTATGGGTGCTATCACTCTATGATTTATATAACATTTATTTCGATAATAGCAAAAAGCCCGTTCCCTACACCATACTGTCCATCGCTAGAATTGTGAGAAAATATTTATGAAATTATTTGGTTTTTAATGAATAAATACTTTTTCAATTAGTTTTTCTCATCAATGCTTTTGTTCCTAAGTCTATACGATTTGATTCATTCAATCTCTAAGTATATAAACAACGAGTACTTAGTATTTGCCGTCGAATTCTTCACACCTTTTATAAAGTCATTAACTTTTGTGAGTAATACAATTTGTTTCTTATTTTATTTCACATTTATTTAAATCTTTTATTATCAAAAATAGTTTTATATAATAGTCTTAACTCACTTACATCGCAAACATGGGATCCATTCATCGAGTATTCTGTTTATATTCTGGTTTACATTATCTATCGGCGCTATTATTAACTATAGGACAGTCATCCACATGTTGTATGGAGATGTGGCGGTAAATACTGAAACCGATTTAAAATTAAATTAATTTAAGCAAATATATTGTATTTTAGGTACATATTACTGGAGCGGTTGACACCAATTGGTTTGTGTGTCGAATGCTATACTTTCCCATAGTTTTAGTACAACTCTTGCTTTCCTGCTTTTCCGATGCAAATGTGGACTCGACTTCAGACAGGAATAAAGTCAGTATCCATTGGTTTAAGCATTTCATTGAATAATGACAAAACTGTTTGACTCTAACAGAAGTTGAATCCTGAGGAAAGTGCTTCATTCTTGTCTAGAGTGACCTTCTGGTGGTTCAATCCAATGATATTTAAAGGATATAAGAAGCCGCTGACCACTGATGACATGTGGTCTCTGACTCGTGACAACCGATCAAACATTATACTAAAACTGTGGGACAGGGTATGGACGCCGGCCCTCGAGAGGGAAAAATATAATTCAATGCGAAGAACGTCTGAAGGAGAGCCACAGATCACTGAAATAAGTCTCTTAAGTGGTATGGTTAAGACATTTTGGCCAGGGATGCTATTGGTGTCTATCATCAAACTGATAGCCAGTGCCCTCACATTTGTGAATCCACTTCTGTTGGACAGACTCATTAACTTTATGTCACCCATGAGTAGCGAACCGGAATGGAGGGGCTATCTGTACGCATCCCTTATGTTCATCTCACCATTTCTTGAATCATTACTTAACAGTCAATACGAGTACAGAATTAACTCAATTAGTATGAGAATCAGAGCTTGTGTTATATCCACTATATATCAAAAGGTAAATACTATTCACCTAGTACAATTAAATATAAATTATTAAATAGTAATTAAAAACCTCTTTTCAATGCAGACATTGAGACTATCGAGTTCTGGTCGCAAAGATTTCACGTCCGGAGAGATCGTTAACCTAATGTCAGTGGACTCGCAACGTATCGTAGAGTTTGTCAATATGTTTAACCACTTATGGTCGGCGCCCCTACAGATCATATTGGGTTTAGTGCTCTTATGGCAACAGTTAGGCGTCGCAACTCTCGCGGGAATGACATTGATGTTGGTTTTGGTGCCTTTCAATGCATTTATCACAACCAAGATGAGATTTGTTCAAATGTCCATTATGAAGGAAAAGGATAAGCGAGTTAAACTCATGAGTGAGATATTGAATGGCATTAAAGTGCTAAAACTGTACGGTTGGGAGACGTCGTTCAGGGATCTGGCCATGAAATACCGGTCTAAAGAGTGTGTATCACTCAAGTCGATGGCATACTTGAACGCAGCCATGGTCTTCACGTTTAGTGCCGCACCATTTTTTGTATGATTTGTTTGATGCCAGTATTGTCTTCATTACTAATCCATGTCTTAATCTTAAGGTTGGTTTCGCCAGTTTCGCTGCTTTTGTACTCATTTCTTCGGATAATATTCTTGACGCCAATAAAGCATTCGTTTCGTTATCTCTATTCAATATTATTCGTAAGTATTTGAATCGATTTAAAACTTGTTGTCAAACTTTTTATATCTTGTCAGGCATTCCGATGGGATTCCTGCCGTTGATTCTGTCAATGGGAGCGATGGTCTGTACATTAAAAACATAGACTTTGATTGTTTAATAAGTTTGTCATCGCTTTCCAGTTTTTAGTGTCTGTGCAACGAATCGATAAATACTTAAACGGCGATGAAATCGACGAAAACGCCATTTCCCACAACGAGAACATCAAATCGCCGGTTGTTATCGAAAACGGATCCTTCAGTTGGAGTAAAGGCGAGAGTCCTGTCCTCCGGAATATAACCTTTCAATTGGGACGCAAGAGATTAGTGGCTGTCGTGGGTTCGGTCGGCTCCGGGAAGTCATCTCTACTGTCAGCCATTTTGGGTGATATGGAGAAACTGAAGGGAACGGTCAACACGAATGGTAGTGTGGCTTATGTACCCCAACAGGCGTGGATCCAAAACGAGACACTCAAACAAAACATCTTATTTGGCAACGAATCCAATGAAACATATTATAAGCGAGTGTTAGAGTCGTGTGCTTTAGAGCAGGACATGAAGATCCTGTCTGCCGGGGATCAGACGGAGATCGGCGAGAAGGGTATCAATTTGTCCGGCGGTCAGAAGCAGAGGGTATCCCTCGCCAGAGCTGTTTACGCCAACGCAGACATCTATCTATTTGACGATCCGCTCAGGTATTCACTGTTTTATAGGAATTTCGCCCAAATTAATGCAAAATGACTTTTAATTGCATTCAGTGCTGTGGACGCACACGTGGGCCGACACCTCTTTGACAAAGTCATTGGTCCCAAAGGTATCCTCAATAATAAGACACGAATTCTGGTGACACATCGCGTGTCAGTCCTACCATATGTGGACCAAATCATTGTCTTAAGGGACGGCGCTATCTCTGAATTCGGGACATTCGACGAACTCGTGTCAAACAAAGGAGATTTCGCCGAATTTGTGGCCGAATATATTGTGGAACAAACTGATGAAGACATACACGAAGACGACATACAAATCCTGGAAGAGATCGCAGAGAAAGTAAAGCCAATACTAGAGAGAAACCTCTCGTACACCGAATCCATGGTTTCGGACACAATGAGTGATATATCGAAGAAGCGGTCATTATATCGGTCGACGAGTCGTATCAGTAGTAGAGGTAAGTTATCGGACAAACCCGAGCCCTCGGGTGACGAAAAGAGTCGACAAAAACAGCGAATCGGAAAACTGATTGAATCGGAATCTTCTGAAACGGGATCCGTTTCGATGGATGTCTACAAGAAATACATGCAAACCATAGGAATGGTGTTGTGCACCGGTATTGTCTTCTCATTCCTCGCGTCCAATGGGGCGCAAGTGGTGTCGAGTCTGTGGTTAAGCCAATGGGCTAACGACGCCCTCGACCCCAACAAAACGGGTAACACAGAGCTCCGGGACATGAGGGTTGGCGTCTACGGGGCCTTCGGTATCATTGAAGCCATATTCTCGTTGACGGCCAGTATTAGCCTAAACCTCGCCTGCATTCGGGCCGCGAAGATAATACACAACAATATGTTGAGGCGAATCATCAGAGCACCAATGTCCTTTTTCGGTCAGTTAGCTCTTAGGATAAAGTGATTTATTAATTGAATATAATTACAGACACGACACCAATCGGAAGAATACTGAACCGGTTCTCGAAAGACATCGACACCGCAGACATGTCTCTGTTATTCAACTTACGAATGATGATAATGCAGTTCTTCAGGACTATTGTCGCCTTTTCGATGATAAGTCTGGAAACACCCATCATATTGGCGGCCATCTTCCCGTTGGCACTCATTTACTATTTGATTCAAAGGGTTTATATATCGGGTTCGCGACAACTGAAGCGAATCGACTCGACCACCCGTTCCCCTATTTATAACCATTTTAGCGAAACAGTCAGCGGATCCACGAGTATTAGGGCCTATGGAGTGACCCAACGGTTTATAGAGGAGTCCAACAGAAGAGTGGATGCAAACCATATCTGCTATTATCCCAGTTTTACGGCCTCGCGATGGCTGGCCATCAGACTTGAGTTCTTGGGCTATAGTATAGTGTTTTTGGCGGCACTTTTCGCTGTGTTGGCCCGACATTCGTTGAGTCCAGGGTTGGCGGGACTTGCCATCAGTTACTCGCTTAATATCACAAGTATTTTGGGAATGTTTGTCCGATCGGCCACTGATCTCGAAACTAATATCGTGTCCGTTGAGAGATGTCTCGAGTACACCGAAACTCCTACTGAAGTACTGTATTATTTATTTTCATAATAATTATTATTTATTAATTTAACAATATTGTATTAATGAATGCGATTCTGTGTGGACGGGTAGGCCGAGTGGTACAACGAGATCACCAAACCGAAGCCCAATTGGCCAGAAAGTGGTGAAATAAAGTTCAATGAATACAGTACTCGATATCGAGAAGGACTGGATTTAGTGCTCAAAAAGATTTCAATAGAAGTGAAGCCAAAAGAAAAGGTGGGGATCGTTGGCCGCACCGGTGCCGGCAAATTGAAATAAAGTTCAATGAATACAGTACGAGATATCGAGAAGGACTCGATTTAGTGCTCAAAAAGATTTCAATAGAAGTGAAGCCAAAAGAAAAGGTGGGGATCGTTGGCCGCACCGGTGCCGGCAAATCGTCCCTTACTTTGGCGCTCTTCAGACTCATAGAGCCGGTCGACGGAACCATTTTCATAGACAACGTGGACATCAGAAAACTCGGTTTATATGACTTGAGATCCCGTATAACAATCATACCTCAAGACCCGGCCCTCTTCACCGGCACTCTTCGTCTCAATTTGGATCCATTCAACCACTACTCAGACACTGATATCTGGAGGGCCTTAGAGTCGGCACATCTGAAGACATTTGTGGACACTTTGGAGAAGGGATTGACTCATCAGATCTCTGAAGGCGGAGAGAACTTAAGTGTCGGACAAAAACAATTGATTTGTTTGGCGAGAGCTCTGTTGAGGAGAACTAAGATCCTTGTGTTGGATGAGGCGACTGCCGGTATGTCCTCCCCTTCCCTTCCCCTTCATATTTAAATTGTTTACAATTTTGTGAATAAATTATTTATTAATTTGTTTTAGCGGTGGATATGGAAACGGATGACTTGATCCAAGAGACCATTAGAAAAGAGTTTTGTTTGTCGACTATTGTGACGATCGCTCACCGATTGAATACAATCATAGATTACGATAGAGTTCTGGTTATGGATAAGGGAATGGTAGCCGAGTTTGATTCACCTAAGAATCTGTTGGCAAACCATAAATCAATATTCTATTCAATGGCCAAAGAAGCTAATCTCGTCTAATATTTTTAAACATTTTAGTACAGTATTATAACTTTAAATTTTTACAAATTCTTTAATTATTAATTACTGTATAAAATATAATTCGTAATATATTTATATAATATAAATTAATTTCTTAAAATTATGTTTAAATGATTAAATTAAAAAAATATTTAGTTGTCATCATTTAATATTTTATAATGCTGTCATAAACATTAAATTATCAATAAAATAAATTAAACTTGATGTTCAGCAAAATTTAATTTACCTAATGTTAGTGATATAATATTAATAATCATTTAACAAACAACATTAGTGTTATGATTATTCAATTCAATTAATATTATATAAGTATTATAGTACAGTAATCATTTTTATTCATATAAATTTGTGTTTAATATGCAACATAAATGTCAAATCACATTTAAAAATCTAAGTCATCATTTAAATTTAAATAAATTGTAAGTTTTGTAGATAATGTTTAGCAAATACTGTATATTTTTAATTTAGTAACGTTAGTTAAACTTAATAATTAGCTGTATGTATTATATTACTGTACCTTATTAATATCTACAAAATAAGTTAGTAACAACATTAATACTGCAAAAGTATTACAAAAAAGTGTTGATTGATAAATAAATACTTATTTTAGATATCACTATGATCATTCAATATTTTATCAAATTTACAAAGGAAATAGAAACCAAATTGACAGATATTTTTTATATTGTAAACATTCATTAAAAAATATAGTAGTTTGTTATTCTATTATAGTAAATCTCACTCATCCGTTAATTTATAAACAAGCTAATTGAACATAATGCCAAATGATTATCTCAGTGTTAAAATAACTTATTGTTAACTACAGTATTTGATATTTATATTACATGAATTGTGGAATAATAAGTTATAAGTTATTAGTAAATTCATTACAAATAATATATGTTTATCATATGAGTTATTCATTGAATAATTATAATAGTTAATAAAACAATTGTTTCTTATGTATTTAAGTCTCAAAATACTATAAATATATGTTTATTGCCTAACGTATGTAATAATATTAATATTTAATATAAATTTTACTTTTTTTTCTAAAACATAAGTAATTAAACAAAGCAACATTTTGTTACATCAGCTAATTTTAAACTACTTAAACCCAGACTATTTATAAATTTTATCAGCATTTTATATAATAACAATAATAATAATTATAGAGCACAAATAAATGTAATTGTAATTATAATATTGTAAATAAGTTTCAAAAAGTGATCCTATTATGAAAAGCTGAGTCAACACAAACTTTTATGTTATCGTTAATCAAGTTTTTTACGGACACGTCCTTCGCTATCATACAAATACAAAGATCTATAATTATTTGCTATGCCTTTCAATGATATGTTATACATTTTACATCAATCTATTAATAAATTATTTTGCAAAATATCATTCAAAACATACTTTTGAAAACTCCCAGTGAATCAAAACTCTTTTGAAATCAATATACTGTGTAACTAATAATTAAATTATTGATTATAATTTTATAGAAGTAAAAATAAATTTATTTTATTTTTCATTTAACCACTATTTACAGAATAATGGTAATACAATGTGCCGGATTGTAAACATTTAAGCAGCTTTCCATATATTAATAATAATAATGAATAAATTCAAGAATATACTCATAATATTAATGTGATTGTAATTAATTTATATGTATGTCATCGCAATCTACACAACACTGTACTTCGCATTCGTTATACACGTTATGAAAGTGAGTGGAAAAACAGTTTCCCGACTGTTGTGTCGCCGATAGACATAATTACAGTATAAGCCATTAAATACTGTTAAACAATATGAACATTACTATATTATATGTGCAGAAAACATGATGATAGAGAAACATATAAAAGCTAATTAAATCACTTTTCAAGTGCGCGCGCATTAATCACATTACGGCACAATTAATATCAATCCGATTATGCCATAAGTTTTTAAAGTGAAATTTTTATACACATTTTTCAATGGGGTTTGTGAAGAATTAATGTTTGCAAACGATAAAACATTGTTTTGGTGGAAGTTTTCAATCAAATAATATTTTAATTTTACTTTAATTTTACTGTATTCTGTAATATTCTGCATAATAATTGTATAATAACTGTTTTGACGTTTATGGCAATATTATGGGAATGTAGTGAATGTTCAAAAGGTTTGAAGCCTTAAAATACAAACAACAGTAAGTGTTGTGTATTCTGTTTGAAGCAATTATTTGGTTTACTCTATTGAATACAAGTATAGTATAAATTCAGTTCATTGTAGTTGTCGTTAGAGTGAAGTGAATAATGAAAAAAAGTTTTTCCACTTTTCGTTTGTTCACAGTTTGTTGAGTTTCCCAAATCACATAATACTGGTGCTGTGTATGGAGTGTATGTGCTCTCGACATACGGTATACTGTAATTGAAGTAAATGTTTCAACTTTTCTATTCGCTCCTCAATTCTTGTGTTATATATTTGTGTCGGTATTATATTTAGTGATTTTATTATTATATATTTTATACGAGATCTTTTTTACAATATATTATAATTGAGTGGAAAATATAGTATATTTTTTGTATACATTCTTCCAGTTTTGACATAAGTGTCAACATATTGTATGGTTTATCTCATACGAGTTTACAATATTTTTTTGCATCAAAGTATTATATTTCGGGCTTTGAGTCCAGTGTTTGTTGGATACTATATTTACCGCAATTTTATTGAATGCAATTTTGTGGACTCGATATTTAATTTTATGCAAAATTAATATATTTTGTGTTTAATTATTACAAACAATATGTGGAGTCCAACACACGTCCAGATTGTCGGTAAGAATATCATTATAATTAGTTTATAATTACTAAACATTAATATATGAATTACAATTGTAGAAAAATAAGTTTACAAAATAGAAAAACAAATTACAAAACATATGATTTCATATACACAACACACATTTAGTAGCAATTAATGAAATGTTTGATAAAAAAGATAATTAAGTTTGAGTTAGTATTGAATAATTGCTACATTTCTCAGAGATCTCAAGGATTCATAGGTAGCCGTCCTTCACAGATAAATCTTGAATCGGATTATTATCTGATTAAATGTTTTATGTTTTATATGCCATACATAACTATTTATCTGATTCAGTGTGTTTAAATAGTGTACTATTTATACACAATATATTTTTCATTTGTTTAAATCAAAACATATTTTTTATAAAGTATAAATTAATATTGATTTAATCTAAAAATAAATCATTTATTTTGTAAAATATTTTCTTTTGTTTGAATTTTAAAAACTATAAATTAAAGTGATTTATAATTTTGCTACATATGCTTTGAAAATAATTGTTTCAAATGATCTAATATTTGGTATTTGTTTTGAGATAAAAATATTTAAAAGCAAACACAAAAACAAAGTGAAAATATTTGAATATAAGGTATACTTTAACTCATTATTTAAATTAATTATTAACATTATTTAGAATTTTCAATAAATACTGTAATTCCTGAATTCAATGCCATTCAACAAATTATAGCTTATAATATGATAAAAATTAACAAACAATTTATTAAAAACAATAGAAATATTTTATAAGTTATTAATAATAATAATTACTTTTTAAACAGACAATGTTTTTATAGCTTATAAGTTGTTAATTTTCAAAAAGCACTGAATGAATGCATTTATAATTAGGATTTAAGCGGTAATTCAGTGATAAAAATAAAAGATTATTTAAATGTCTGCGCGAAATATGATTTGCTTAAGTTTTAGGGATATTTGGTGTGAAATGTCTATTTATATAACAGGATCTCAATTAGAGATAGAGTTTCGGTTATATAACTTATATCTAAACTATTTTCTCAATGAAAACTACATTTGTTCATTAAATTTGTGAAAATTCTGTTCACTTCCCTATCTCTCAAAGAGACTATACCTCTGAAGTAATGTATGTTTTCTGACAAATAAATGGATAGATATGAACGAAGAATATGTGAGATTTGTGTTCAAATTTCCAAACAATACAATAAAGTATTAGTGTTTTGAAAATAGTGGAGGAAAAGCACAGTTTGACTCAAATATACCTCACTTTATAAACAATGAGAGTCTGTCTGATGGCAACGACCCATCAATAATAAAAATGCATTTTTTGAATAAAACATATTTATATATTTATTTTTGAAACGATTTTTATGATAGAGTTTAAACACATTTAATGCACGTCTGAATGCATGACAAGTGAATTGTATTGCATTTTGATTACAATCGCGAATATGTTTCGAGAAATATTGGGAAAGCTTTTTATTCATTGGTTTCTCGATTCGCTTAATTAGCTTTGATTTTCTCTATTCACCGGTAATTAACTCCAACTTATAGTCTATAATTATATTTGAATATAACAACAACTTTGAACATGGGAACATATTGCTGGCAAGTTTAATTTTATCTCAATTTTTAGTTTTATGGCAAATAATTGTTTATTCAAAAACAATGCAAATAACATGGTCCCTAATTTTAAACATTAAAGGTTTAATATGCAATATTAAAAAAAGTTAATTATAGGTAACATATCTTAAAATGTGTTCACATTTTCATTACAAAACAACGTTTTCACGGGTAAAATATGATAAGCTTTTAAAAATAGATTAAATTTTAAACCATAAAAATTTTTAGTTGTATTTGAATATGTAATATTTATCATTGTGTGTGATATAAATTACAATTACGCTAGTACTGTACAATACCGGTACTATTTTAAAATAAATTTCACATTTAATTTTATTCTTTATATACTTTTTAAATGTTATCTTCAAGTTAAACCATTTGAATCTCAAACAAAGTACTCAATGATTAGCATAAAATGAAAATTTGTGTATAAAATAGAAAATCTGACAATTATTTTATATTAAATGGTAACTAATTTTGAGCTCTGAATATGTTTTAAAGTACCAGTGTGAGTTTCTATATAAACTCAACATTTA